AACCCAGAAACCATTATCACTAAAACTTTGGGCATCCCCGTATCACCAGCATGAGACTTACACTTCCTGACGTCTTGTGCTCTGTTTTAAGCCATCAGTGTTCTCACCCTTACACTTGGTTTCACTGCTCTGGCACACACCATATAATAAGGCCCGCTTTCTGTCCTTGAAGATCTTCTCAGCCTTAGAACAAATCCATACACAGAGCAACTTTTCTTCCCAAATCTCCTGAGGTTTTTATGAAAATCTCTGCCAGAAATCCTGTTGTTCATGAACTTTTCACCGGTTTAATGCATGCAGCTGCTAGGTTCAAGTCCTATTAGCATATCTAAAAAAACTGAAAGCGGCCTCTTGTTCTTCTGCCTGACCCATGCAAAGGTTCCTACAAATGAGCACAATTTAACAGAGTAAAAGATTGTGTATCACATGCATCCGATTCACTGCCTGTTAGGGCTGCCGCTGGCTGCCTTAGAGTAGTAGCTGTGTTCTGGAGTTCTCTGAAATGCAAATCTCAGCTGCGAGCACCTGTTGAGGATTGGTTCCTCTGGACCTGGAACCACCTACTTCCTGGTTGCTGTTTGCTGGCGTCTGATTGGTGTGGCTGAAGAGCCGACCAAACCTGCCAACCAGGACTCACCAATCAACACCAGCTGGCCTACAAATAGTTTGTGTTTCTGCATTTTGAGGCTACTGTGAGCCAGTGATCAGTTTGCCTTGTTGTTGGTTGTGTACCCTTGTGAATTTCTTGAGTGTTGGATTTACCTGTTTCTGTCGGTTGCCTGCCTAAGCGGCTTCTGTTAGAATCCTTGTAAACCACATAGTGTGAGTGGCACTCTTTGGGTTGAGCATTGTCTGTTTGGTTACTTTGCATTCTTGTAAAGCATGTAGGTACTGACCTCCTTTTGTTCAGTGTTTTTTTTTTGAGTAGAGAGCTGTCTTTGGACAATACCTCCTTTTGTTTCTGTTTTTTTGTCAGTACCTATATAGCCTCCTTTTGTTGTGTTTTTCTTGAGACAAATCATTTAATTAAACATTTGACTTTAACCTAAATTCAGTTGTCCTTACCCGCTTCATTCTATCCCAAATACCTTGTTACTGCCCTACCCTAATGAGCTGGGTTGTAACACTGCCTATGGTGTGGATGTTCAACATCCACTCTGGCAAAGCAATTTGTAGGTTCAATGATGGGCCAGCTCAAACAAGATGTTGAAATGACTGAGGCTTTCGCTGCAGAGGGGAGAAAGCTTTAGATCTACTTTCTATCTCTCTGTTGCTGCCCTCCATACCTTTGTGTGGCTGTGGAAATTTGACAGGGAAGTTACCAGGAAGGTGGTTTAAGTGTTTATAGAGAATAGAAGGAAAGGGGTGTTTAGTGGTTTAGGACTAACCGAGAGACGGAATTGCACTGATTGGATGAAGGTTTGGGAGTAAAGCGAAATATATTGAGTGGGAAGGAATTAACCATGGAATGTAATATGTAAATTGATTGGATGAAAGGCAGCAGCAAAAAGTGTTTAAGGAGTGCCGGGACAAGGTGGCAGTGAACTTCAAGTAAAATAAATATATTTACAAGATTTGGGATGTGAGCTCAGGTCAATCTATTCCTGCAATTTACACATGGTGTTTTTTCTCTCGGTTCTCAAATACAGAGCATGTTGAGCATCGCGGTTATTTTTCAGCTATTGAAGGTTGCTCTCTCACTCGACAGTGACTTGGTATTCACAGGATGACAATGTAAAAACAAAGGAAATACAAATTAAATATGGTCCACATTTCAGTGCTGGAAAATAAACTGTTGTGGTACAGTCATTAAATAAGGCTGAAAGAAGACATACAGTAAATATAAATTAATTTAATTACCCACACAACAGTATCAGACAGACATTCTTTATGTAAATGACTCATCCACATAGATATACATGTACTATTTATTCCTATGAGTTAAAACTCAAACCTGTACACACCTTACTATTAAATTAATTTTCAAATGTTTAATCCAGGAATGTTATAGGCGTTTATCTCAGGGGGTCCCCGAACCTTTCTTTGTCAACCACTGCACTACACAATAAGCATGCTGCAGCAGTTGATTGTATCACTGGAAATAATTAATTGCCTATTGCTATCTTAAAGGATAAATGAGATTCCCATAATCACTTTGCCACTCAATAATTAGTTGTATTTAATAACTATCAAAATCTCCCCAGGGGGATTTTTGCTCAACATAGCCCCTTGTCAGCTTATGGTCCATCAGTCCTTACTGTGTACACAGGGACTGTGTAAAGTAATTAATATTCTGTAAGAAACAGCAAAAGAGAAACCAGAAAAAAAAGTCACAGAAAGAAAAAATGAAACTTTATTTGTTTTTTATACTTATCAACACTTTGAAATTAAAACCTATATAATTTACTCACAACTAATATAGATCTGCACATTGCAAATAAATCAATCAAAAATAGTTACGAAGTCCTATCACTTTTTTCCCCAAACTGCAATACACACAAACAAAAGCTGAAAACAAAAAAAACCTGTCTAGTCATTCGTTTTTCCTGCTGTTGCTGCCACATGGAAAGTGGATGAAATTCAACAAGCTACACAGCTCTCCTGTATCTATGCTAATAAGGAAATAATTGAATAAATAATTGCACATTGCACCCTATTATTGCATTAGTTGCAGTTTGTTTCAAAGTCTTAGTATACTCAGCCATATACACAAATGTAAATACAGTTCAAACACTGAGTAACACATGAATATTGATGTTATTAAAATCACACTGCCATCACTTACAACTCAATATTCTTGCTTTGCGATCAAATTCATATGACACAATAAGATCTTTGTTAAATGCACACACCAGCTGTGCTAAAAAGCATTAGCAATCCTTGTTTGAAGCAGACATTTGAATGGTACACATGCACTGATAACAGTTGTATAAAAGCCATAATACCCTTGAGGATGTTCTTTACTGGTACAGTACTGTTGGTAAAGAATGCCCTCTTAAGTATTAGCTATAACTGTTCTGAAAAGCAAGTTTGCCAAAATACATAATTTCAGTTTGTCCATTTGACAAACGTTCCCATTGAAGTACAAGCCATAACAACTCATAATTAAAATAAAAAACACAAATTCATAGCACTACTACTTGTGTTCACATCAAAATGTAAGAATTATTGCAGAATAATCACTGACTATGCATTGTTCAGTATAGTGATACAGCATTTGGTCCATTTACATAATCACATTTATCATCAAAGCGCTTAAAGTAAAAGGAAAAGTTTGACATTTTGGGAAATACACTTATTTGCTTTCTTGCCAAGAGTTAGATGAGTAGGTTGATTCCACTCTCATTTCTGTATGCTAAATATGAAGCTACTGTTAGCAGTGCTTAGCCTAACACAAACACTGGAAACAATTAGCCTGGCTTTGTCCAAAGGTAACAAAATTCACCTACCGGCACCTCTGGAGCTCAGTACTTAACAATTAACATGTTCTGATTTATTTCTGATTTACTTATTTCATCATATTTTCAGCCCTCACAGAGTTTAAAATGTTTAGATAACTCTCCGCTGTATATGAAGCCACAACCAGGAGATCGTTACCTTAACTTAGCTTAGTATAAAGACTGAAAAGGAAACTGCTAGCCTGACTCTTGTAATTAAACAGACTAAATATTAAGCTTTATTAAGCTTTAGGTCCTGGTGAACTGATTTTTTCAACTTTTTTTCCTCCTGTTTCCGGTCTTTATGCTAAGCTACACTAATCAGCTACTTGTGGTATCTTCTCATCTAACAAAGTGAACATTTCCCAAAATGTCAAATTTGTCCTTCAAGCTCAGTTTAAGCGACTGGATAAATAAAACTAAAGTAGTGGTATGTATGAAGAAACTGACACTGAAAATGCAGAATGTTGCTGTGTTGGACTGTAGATAATGTGATTCGACAATAACATTCAACAGCTGTTTGTATGTGTCAAAACTTAATTAAGCTCAGCAGAAGCTCAGAGATGACTCAAGCTGTCCAATAGTATTTAGAGCATCCTCAAGAGTAGAATACATGAGGGATGGTTGAAATACTGAATTAGTCCAAATACCATCCACACCTCCCTCTCAAATTAAATACAATACAACAAAACTAACTTAGCTTAAGTGTCATGATCAACAAACAAAAAGTCATATGTGCATCACCACACCATAAATAAATACATGCTGGTTTTACTGAAAACCAGTGAAGCAGGAAGTGTCATCCAACCTGTCCTTTTTTAAATAAAAACAATTAAGTTGCTGACATAGTCATGACAATAAAAAGACATTCAAACCTAATGCGTCAAATCAACCGTATGACAACAAAAAAACATGACAAGATGAACAATCTTGAAAAAGAGACTGAGTGGTCACGTCCGCCCAGGCCCCGTGGGTTCCCCTCAACGAACCCCTGAACATTCCTTGGCCCAAAAAATACCATGCGGCTTCGTCCAAACGTTTAGGCCTCTTTGCCGTTAAGAGTCGGCTTCTTCCCCTTGCTTTTTGCTCTCTCAAAAGCCCCCCAAAAACCCAATTGTTTTGGGAGCAGCGTAGCGAATACTTTCCTAGACAAGGGAAGGAAGCCGAGAGGTTTGGACGCAACACTTGGCTTTTAAGTCCAACTAATTCCCCCCACATCAGAGGCAGTCCAGAGTAAAGTGTTGAATAGTCTATTGCATGAGCGTCGCGTAGTTGACTAATGTGCTAAGCCACAATAGTCCTTGTACAAAACAAATACAGTATACTAATAAGTTAGTAAACAATCATTTAAATTTTCAGTTAGTGTTTGAGCCACTGATTTTTCACTAATTTCCATTCATGCATCTATATACTAATAATCGGTGTTGATAGAAGGAGGCTATGTCGGAAAGTTTTTCATCTGGGCAGGGAGTAGGACTAGACGTGAATGGCCAAAAATGCTGAAAAAGTTTGTGGAAAAGAACAGGAGCGCAAAGATGTAATAATAACATTTGAAGGAGCACGTACACTGAACAGGTTTACTCAGATACACAACGATACAACATTGAAAAACATGCAATATAAGCAATAATGTAAATATAGGAAATTAACATGAGAAGGGAGGCTCTAGGAGTGATACCATTGGCTTAAAAGGGTCATGTGATGCAGCAAAGAGTCATGGGTAGAGATTGGATTTGTTAGTAGACAAAGATGCAAATTAGGACAAAAGCAGAACAGTCCAATTTTTTTTCTTTTTAAAATATTATCAAAATTTGATAATTTGGCTACATCCCACCACACACTCTGCCGATAGCATCACTGAGCAGCTGTAATATGCAATAACTACGTTCTACAAAACTGTTCAATCTTTTACTAGAACTTTTTTTACTTTTAAATGATGTTCTATGACGCAGCACTGACAGAGAGAGAGAGAAAGTAATAGATAGAGAGAGAAAAATAAGAAAGATTTAACACAAGTTGTTCCTAATAAACATTCAACATGCTTGAACAGTTCTCTAAAAAAACCTAATCAACAGAGAGTTTCTTTTTTGTAATTTTTTTATAAATTGAACATGGCTCTCTGAAATCAACTTTGAACCAGGGCGGGAAGATGGTCAGGGGTTTTCAGAGAGCCAGAGCCAGAGTCCGAAGGGCTTCATCGGGGTTGTCTGCGGTAGTCAGTCATTGGAAAGGGCCAAACAGAGGAGCCAGTCAGGGATCTCAGGATGTGGTCATGGAAGATGGGTCATTCCACATGGCCGCCACGTCTCTGAACCTGAAAGGAGATCATTGGAAGGTAAGCAATAATTTCTTTTTTCTCATTTTCTTCAAAGAAGCCTGCATTTAAACCCCAAATTAGGGGTTTGCCATTTGGGGTTGGCAAACATTAAGTGATTTCTATATTGTTTCTTTCAGTTGTATGTAGATGCTGTCAAATGTAGAATCATCTTAAATAAATAAACCAACCAACAAAACACTGATATTGGATGCTTTTGCTTTTGAGTAGTCAGTGTAACTACAGTATGGTTACAGTTAGATTGCTGTGATGAGTAATAAACCATGACGTCAAAGTGTAAAAACATCAAGTCACTGCACCTGGCCAACAAATAGTCCGGCATGTAGCCCAACGTAAAACAATACATTTTATAGTTGTATTTTGTACGGAACGAAACGAGATATAACTAGACACATTGTAATTAGCAGCTTTTTTAATATGAAATTGCAACAAATTTTGAAATGGAGGCTAGCAGACACAGCACAGGGAGTTTAAAAACCACAACAGCAATGGTAAACAAAGATAAATGCCTACAGACAGGGGGCTTGATATTGTTTTATTCTCATTTGGAGAAACAGGTACTTTTGCAAGAACACGACAACCTGAGAGCCTCTAATTTGGCACTTTTCTATTTCAAAACGGAAACATGTCGCAGCTTCCACAGTACCATGAAAAAGGAGACTGTAACAGCCATTGAGCTCTGACCGTGCATTGATGAGGTACTGGGCCAGGCTGATGTTAGCAGGGGTCCCTGTGATTGTGATCTGGCGCTCCGATGACCCTTCCATGGCGTTAGCAATTTTAATCTGCGCCCCAGACATCTGACGGATCTCGTTGATTTTGGTTCCCTGGCGTCCGATTATGCAGCCTATTAGCTGGGAAGAAAATAGGATGGCCATGAAAGAGACATAGATTGACACTTTTTTATCTGACGCTATTTGACCAGACATGGCTTCACTATGATGCATGTAAGTACGGGCCAGTTTTTGTCAGCCTCTCAGCTATAACTTTATTAATTCTTACTTTTGTCCAACAAGTCTTTTCCATTAAGGACATCCACTTTATAATGCCAACTGCCTTTGGCTGCACTATATCTCTGCTGTAGAGAAGAAGCACTCAGTAGTTGCAGCTGAACTACTGTCAAATTGTATCGCTCGAAACTTCAACAGGAATCCGTGTTAAAAAATAATAAATTTTTGGACAGTGTGGTCAGGCAGTTAGTTCATTCATGACCAGTGTCATGCTTTGTTTCTGTTTTATGTAACTATTTGGGGAATTTAATGTATAATTTAACTAATAAATTAAAAATGTATCCTTCTAATCTCTCTGAAAATGGATTTAAATATTCAAGGAGTTAGTTAATATGATCAAAATGTCCCATTAACCTTTATTTTATAACTTTAAGGTTTGCCGTCATAATGTTCTAAAAGTAACATTTCACTTTTAAGGTACAATGTATTGGCAGTGACAATATAGCACAAAATGGCTACAAATGATCAAAACTGCTGAATAAGTGTGGCAGCAATTTCTGCAAAAGTGTCAACAATGTTGCCTTTAAATGCTTATGGTGAAGGAGGCAAAATGAAGACTGTTTTTTAAAAAGTGTCATTAGCAGTTTTGTTTGAAATGAATCCCTGTCAGAAAAAATGTAACAAATGACCAAATAAAAAAGAATTTGCCAAAGTGGACATTTTGCACGTTATGACAAATGTACTCACATCATTGGGAATGGTGAGTTCATGAGTACTGGCCTGGTTACTGGCATCCAGACCTGCTGCTGAACACAGGAAGCAGACAGAAAGAGAGGAGGGAAGGAAGAGGACATAAAATAGAGTTTGGCACATTGATGAACTGTAGTCTGTCTATTGACCAGTAGCATTTCAGTATCACTGGAAAGTCTGTCTCAGCCCTGAGCAGAGCCTACATACACTACATAACTAAAATACCAACTGACAATTTGACTTATACTCTCCAAATGGGAAAAGAATCTGATGAATTTGCATCATTTAAAAAAAAAAGGATACTAAGGGAGACCAAAGAACAAAAGAAACCTCAACATCAACAAGAGCAGACCACCAGCAGGCCATGTCAATGGCAGAGCACCACAGAGACCATTAGGAGGAGAACGGCGAAGAAGAAGAAAAAGAGAAAGGACAGAGACAGGAAAAGAAGATAAAAGAGAAAAAAGGAGGAATAGAATGTGTTTGTCTCTACAGGTAAAAACGAGAGAAGGAGCTTTGGTAAAGAGGGTCGTCGTGTAGGTGGGTACGTACCGGGGAAGGCAGGGGTGGTCTGTCCAAGGGGGGTAAAGGGGGTTTGCTGCATAGCCAACTGGTGGAGCTTGCTCAACTGCTGAGGGGGGGAGGAGGAGGACAGCAGAGCTATGAGGTCATCGTTAAAAACATACTCTCGCGCACGCACACTCACACACACACACACACACAGGTCTGTCCGAAATGCTACAAGAGTAGAGAGAGGATCTGAGGAGAAGTAACAACACAGACCAAAGGACAAAGACCAAGAGAGAAAAAGAAAGAAGAAGAGATGAAGAAGCTCATAAAGAACTTGGCCTGAGTTAGGTTTTTATATGTGACCATGTGCAGAAGGCTTTAACACTGTATTGGGGTTTTATCTTTTAGAGTTATTTCCATACCTTGGCTCCAGACCATCTCAGATTTTTTCATTGATTCTTACATGTCTGGAGTCTGGTGTATATGGCTGAATTGACTCTTGTTTCCAATCAGAGCTTTGTAAGTGGGATTAACAATGCCATCTATTTTCCTGTGACTGAGCCACAAAAATGCAGAGCATGGATGCAGAGATACATAACATGTCATTAAATCAGCATGTTTCTTTATTTGACATGATAAAGGTTCTGCTTCTTGCAACCTGAACCGCATCTGTATTGACTGACAATTAAGTCAGCGGGATAAACACATAAACCACGACTGATCGGTTATTATAAAAATAACATATCGACATGATGTCAAATTGAATAATGACGTGGAAGCAAAATGTCAGTTCAGATGACGTATGAAGAAGTGACTTGACAAAGCTGATTTGTCACATCATCTTTATTTGTTTCTTACGTTAATTATGTTAATGCAAACACGGACTGTTTGAGAAACATCTTGATCGTCTTCTGGTTTTGATTTTCCAGCAGCATTGATTGTGAATGAAATGCATTTTGGCAACTGCCATTTATGTTATGCATCTTGAATGTTAGGAATACATAGAAAAACACCAACAAAGAAAAGTTCTCAAAATGGTCCCAGCTCAGAACTGCATTACATTTTTCCAAGAAAATACTGAATACATTTAAAAGCGGCACAATGTCTGCTGCAGTGGGATTACTTTATCAAGTGAGTTTCAGGTCCCAAATTTATTTTTTATGTCATATTAAAGTAAAGTGAAGCCACCAGCTCATTTGAAAGAAGGAAATCACTCTAAAAACTTAAAGTCCCCTGAGGACAATATTTCCAGCCAAATCTGGTAACTTCTTCAGGCCAAGCCCCATGAGGTTTAATGCCAAACAGAGGGCAGGGAGTCAGAAAAGTTAGAAGATATAGGAAGTACATATCAGGAAAAAAAAGCTGTATTAATATTAACAATTAATATTAATATGGGTGGAAAGAGAGTAAAGAGCCTGCGACTCAAAGAGAGAAATCAGAGGGAGGGGGTTAGCACTCACATCTGGATGTGGGATGGCGTACTGTCCTTGAATGGTATAAGCCTGAAAACATGAGAAGAATCTTGTTACATCATCGGAACAAAAATAGAATGCTGTATTAAATACATTTTGGACAAGGTAAAACTACAACAAAATTTCACCTAAGCAAATGATAAATTCACAAAAGTAACATTTCTAAAATGTAAAACCTCTATGAAGTCATTTTTTTTTATCTTTTGAGCTTTATTTTTAGCCACATTACAAGAAAGTCATGCACTATAGACTCCCTGTCATGTTCCTCCAACTATTCATCAATCAGATCCAGTTGAACTAAATCAATAAGGGACAACTCAGACAGTGGGGAGGTGATGGGGAGGGTGTGGAGGAAACCAGAGGAGCGGCCCTGAGAGGAGTATTGTGACTTGACCGATTGGATGTGTGGTGTACAGGGGCCACAGAGGTCAGAACTGAGATAAATTTCATTTTCATTAGCCAAGACTGCAACAGCGATACAGTAACCAGAGATAAAAGTAAGTTCAGTCGAAAGATAGTGATTCTAGACATTTATTTTATTTTATATCGACTAGAAAAGCGTTTTTAATGTTTATGTTTATTAATTGCAGCTCTCCTGTTAAATTGATGAGGAAATCAGTTTCATCTACTTGTCGATCAACAGTAAATCAATCAGCTAAAAAAAATTCAGTTGAATTTATAATATTTGATATATATATATATATATATATATATATTTATAGCTGGAATGTGTTAGGAGGAAGCTAATATTATCATATCTACAGAAGCACTGTTGCTACTACCCCTCTCTCTATTTGCATATTAGCATTTTCAGCTGTTTACTCTCATCTGCTGTCATTCACACCCGGTCCACTAGTGGCCCCTACTGAGTTTTCCCTACTTTGCAGATCACCTGATTTATCCCGCTGTCCCGCCTCCCCAGTCTAGCCTGCCCTGCTGTCATGCATTAACGTGTTGTTTCCTGCACGGGTCTGTTTTGATCATCTCGCCTTGTAAATAAATTTACCTACAGGTGACCAGAATGTCATGTCTGCTTTGGTTCATCTTACAGATGTGTTGGCCCAGCTCTGTCACCAAAACAAGGTTATTTCTGTATAGGTGAGTTAGCTTGATGGCAGTCCAATAAGTTCATAAATTAATGAAAATTTTAGTATAAAATTTAGAAGTATTTTTTTTAGTGTTTTTCTATATTTTTACTTGAGTGTGCAATTTTGAAAGTCTGCTTAAGTTTTTTAATCTGTCTTTTTAGGATTAGTATCAAAGGGAAACACAAGGATGTTTTCACTGGCTCTGTTCTCATCAATTAAAAGGTAAGTTAGCCAATTTCCCAAAAACCTGATGGATTCCTCTTACAGAGAATAACACTTATGTTGTGTTCTGATTCAATTTCTCCAATTAGGTCTAATGCCATTTATCCCAGTACTGGTTTGAGTGGCAGCGGGTGATGGATGACAGTGAGGGCACAGTAAACAGCAGTGATGGTATCATGCTAGTTGGGGGGGCAGGTGGGGACAGTGAGGAAGGGAGGAAAAGTGAGTAAAACCTGGTGCGACACTAACAGGCAGTGGCTGGTGCTGCAGTAAGAGGCTGAGGTTGGCTGTGGACGCCCCCAGTGGGTCTGCTCTTACCTGGCCACCTGAAAAAATGACAGGGGTGGAGGCAGGCTTGGGGCGGTAGGGGATGGTGGCACCTTTCGGTGGGGACTGAGGAGAGCAAAGGAGGAGAGAGTTGGGGGGGGGAGAAGAAGGGTGAGATGTGGAGAGAGTGTTAGCAGAAAGAAAGAAATAAAAATGAGAGAAAGAAAGAAAAGAAGTTGCATAAAGTGAGACCAAGAGGGACAGTGCCTTAGGGAAGACAACCTGTGACACTCACACAAAAGTGCTCTTCACTGTGTTTTCATGCTGACATAAAATGCCCAAATCATGGTTCAGTGCACAACTAAACTTGGATTTACCTGGAACATCACTTTCAACTGGATAATGATGACTCTACTGTACATAGTGTGTTTGAAATATCTTTTGAACTCCGTATTCTAGAGACTTACAGTAATGTCACATATCTCCTAGTATCCATGGCTGGTGCCATCATGACGGCCCAATGGAGAACTGGCTGTGCAGATAGTTAAAATTAATGGTGCGAGAAAAAGAGAGACAACTACAAAGTGTGTAGCCCTGTGATCCAAAGAAGTATGACTGGTATGTTGAGAAGAGTCAGCTGAGAGCCTGATCAGTTCAAGTGCAAGATATATTAAATCAAATAATCCAAATTTTGACACGTACCTACAGGCCAGTATCGCTAGTTCCTGCTGTATGTGTTACTGTAGCTAGTTGGGATGCCAAATGTGTTTGCAGCAAAGCAATGAAGGGTAACTTTCCCGATTTGCAAACCAAGACATTAAAACACAAAAAAACAAGTTATGAAATGGCATTAGAAATAGACAACAAGACAGGTGGACTTGAAGGTGTATTTTATCACCAGGGAGTGCTTTATACAGCAGAACAAACTGTATTAAAGTTATAATCCGTAAGATTTCTTCAAACCCAATTTTTGCTGGTTGGCTGGTTGGTTTCATTGTTAGAGGCAGAGTCAGATTGCTTTCTTACCACCAGAGTGTCACCAAATACACCAGGACATCTTAAGGATTATAACTGTAAGCACTACTTTATCTTCAATATCAGCCATTTCAATACAACATATGTTCAGTGTAAATACCGCTTCTGTCATTTTCCCCCTCCCTTCCCTGTTGTACCTCAAGCATCACCACACATATCTGTTTGACACACTGGATGATGGCTTCTGGGGCCCCTGAGATTGTCACTGCCCTCTCGGTGGAGTTGGGGAGCATGTCCCCTGCAACCTGGACCTGAGCTCCTGTGGACTAAAGGTAAGAAGAATCTTTATTCAATCTGAATAGATTTGAGGAAATAAAAAAATTATTATACCAGAGAAGCAAAAATAGCTCTGAGCTTTACATATGGGGGAATATGCAATACTTAAAACTTCAAATGAAACTATAAGAACCATACATATATGATTTAAAAAGCTTACATGGGAACTATGTAAATGATAACTGAGATTTGCAAAATCATCTAAAATCTGGCAATATCTTAATTCATATATTTATGGAGATCAATAGTATTGATGACGACTTTTTACTCTTCTTTGCGGTCTACCTCTCTCATTTCTTTGATTTTAGAGCCTCCTTTTCCAATGAGGGAGCCACACTGGCTGGCCGGGACAACGAGCCTCAGGGTTACAGGTGGTTTACTGGTGGCTGGACTGTTGCTCATAGAGTTGATTATATCCTGAGGGGAGGGAAAAAATGGTTATATCTGACAAATTCAGCATTAATTACTGGATTTGCATTGGTGGCTTTCGTAGAAATACTACCTCCAAGTAGCTCTTCAGATTGTACACACTTGCCATTACTAGTGTAGCTCTGTTATGTTCTTCATATATTAATATTTGTCATTATGCTTACATCTTTGTTGACATTATGCACACCGGTGGTGGAATGTAACATCAATTAAGTAAAATTTTGAGGTACTTTTACTCGAGGATTTTCATTGTGTGCTAATTTATGCTCCGCTCAAGCACATGCTCCCCCAATTATTTGAGATTTAATGTATTTAGAGAATAGTTTTTGGATGACTTGGGGGCAGCGGAAACCAGTTGTAAACACACAACATTAATATATTTTTTCAACTTTTAAGTTGATATGGTGAACCTGTTAGCAAATAGTTGCTTATTTACACATCCAGCAGTTACGGAGCAACATCAACATTCATTCAAGTCGTGTTTGTGTCTGCCTGATGGATGTAAAGTGTGATATTGTCTCCCTTTTAGCTCTGGTTTTGGTCTCTTTAGCTGCTAACTGCTCCGCTATGTTCACCAGCTAGTCTGCCACCAATATAGCCACCAATGAAAGGATACTACTTGACACTTCACACTTGACACTCAAGTCAAGAGAATCATAGCTATCTAATTTGCCGTTGTATACATCTCCATGTAATGAAATAAGGTCTGGAAGGCCTCTGACACCCAGATCAACATTAGATGTTTAATATGAACAAATTAACTTTCTCATAAATGAGGTAAAACTAATTTAGAAAAGCTGATCATCTCAAAGGTTTAACTACCCTAGCACAGGTTTATCTGTCATGTCGTGGTGGAGCCACTTCGGCTCTGTCCAGCTGGAAGCATGCTGATACGGCACCCAAATCAAAACACAATACTGGCACACTTTCAAAGGGTGCTGCAAGGTTAGATCAGCACATTTCTGTTCTACATAATAGGGCCATGCCTGCTTTGTATTCCATCTGGAAATGAGTCAGAACAGACACTAAAGCATAGTGATGGAATGTAACTAGTAGAATGTAAGTACATTTACTCAAGTACTGTGCTTAAGTACAAATTGAATGGACTGAACTAATTTTCTTAACTGATTTTATTTTTATGATATATTTCTACTCCGCTATATTTACAAAATACTGTACTACTGTGCCTTACAATATACACAATCCTTCCACTGGATAACCTGGACCAAAGCACATACACATATAAAGTACAGCTAGAAAAATTTGTAGATCAGTCGATTAAGTAAAAATGAATGGCCATTCTTTATGTAAAAACATTTCATAGTTCCAGCTTCTAAAAAATGGGGATAAATTATTTTAACTTTAATTCATTTTTAATCATTTAACTGAATGACTTTGATGTCTGGGTAATTGTGAGGCATTTGTCACTTTTTTTAGTTTTTACAAACCAAACAATCAATTGATTTAATGAAGAAAATAATCAGAAGATTAATCCATAATGAAAATAAGTATTACTTGCAGTTCAATAGAAAATAGTATAATAAATTTTCTCATTTTCTGCAAGAACTTTTATATATTTTCCTGATTATTCTTACATACTTGTACTTTAGTTCGGGACCTTTACTTGTAATGGAGTATTTTGACAGTGTTGTATTAATACTTGTACTTAAGTAAAGAATCTGAATACTTCACCACTATAGCATACCCAGTGCTATTGACTCATTATAATGTGGAACTCGTGCAACTGCACAACTGCTACAACAGAATCTGTAGTGTTTAGATGATGGATGTTATACCTCCTCAAACTTGTACGCTATCATGGCGAAAGCCTTGAAAATAGCATCTGTTGGCCCAGTGATGGTGACTATCCGTTCAGGGCAATTCCCCTCTGAGATGTTGATACGTGCACCACTCTATAGGGCAAGAGAAGGAACAAAAAATACATGGTTATGAGACAAAAATACATATTAGAAGTGTTGAAACACTCTAAGTTCTACTTACGTCTTCACGCATTTTCTTCACCGTTTCTCCTTTCTGGAAGTGAAGAAAAGGAACATTATTAAGATGCTTTGTGTATGCTCGCAGGCGTTATGATGCTTTACATGGTCTGCTTGTTGCATTTGTGATAAATACCTTTCCTATGATGCTTCCAACCTCCTGCAGAAACACAAAAAACAACATTAGGTGTGTTTGTGTCACAAGCGCACTGGAAATGATCTATTTTCTTTTGAAATATATTTGAAAATAAAACCAGAACAGGAAAGTTACAGAACAGGAAGTTGAACCTTCTTTGTGTGTTGTTATACCTTGCCGTGCATCAACAGCCTGATGGTGAGGGTCACATTCAATCCACCTTCTGATTGGACTTTGATGGGCTCCATGTCAGGATTGGATGTGAAGGAAGGGGCGTGGTGACGTGAGAAAGGAGTTCAAGGGCCAACGCGAGTGTGATGGTGGAGTCAGCCAACCGGTCACCTGGCAAATTAAAAAGCAAATAAAGACACACCTGCTGAGTTTAGGATGAGCAGATAGTGACTGGGACTGAGCTGTCTCCTGGCAGTAATGACAATATATTGTAGTACTTTGTTCAGACAGTTTAATGTTGATATTTAGCTACCAGGTGACAAACAACAGAATACAAACCATGCAACTCTAATGCTAAGACTAAATATATTCTTTTTAAATTCACTTTAACCTGAGACTTTTCACATGTGTCACATGCTCGGTAAGTGTAGGATGACGGGAATAAAGTAAAGCTTTTGTTTTTCTTTTTTTTTTTTTTTTTTTACAAATGGAATTAACACAAGGCTGGATTACCAAGAGGGGAACTTCACCAGGTGCCCTGAAAGCTCCTGCTTTACTGAATAATTTATGCTAAATATTCACCACGAAAGCACAATATCAGTTTACATTCAAGAAAGGATAAGGCTGGTTATATTAAATTTAAGTGTGTTAGTGTGTTTCTTCCCTACTCTGTCTGTGGCATTCATCACCAACCCCATTGGTTCCTGCTGAAGACATAAGTCTTTTAAAAACGGGTCACAAATATACTCTTGTCCTAAGCAGTTTCCTAAAGTAGCAGGTCACTGTAGTTTTTAGCATGTGTTGCTCAAACAGGAGTAAGAAGTGGGTTGGTTGGGGACTATTTTCATCTGCGGATTTATACACATTTCATGTTCTAGTGACTATTTCTGACAGCAGTGTGGGGTATGTGGGACTGATGTAGCTCCATCGCAAGGAGGATTAAGATCTATCAGGCTTTGGATGCACACAATACTTGTTAGTAGATATATTCATTGTTGTTTTTGGTCTTTTCTTAAGAAAAATATAGAATATCACCAAATTCATCTGTATAAGGTGATTGACATTGAGGCCATGTCTTAAAGATGTGCCTAAAATCTAGTTTTACAGACTTTATTATTTATTTTATTACTGATTATATGTTGCATATTCCTCGACTAGTATTGTTAATCAAATTACCATACAGCAAAGCTGAGCCTGGTGCTATTTTAGTATAGAAAATGCACAGAAAGAGGGAGGAAAAGGCGTGTTAAGTGGGGCCCAGCATTTGATTTCTGCCGCCAGGGCAAAAATCCCCAGATGATGAAAGTCATTGTAGGATGTAAATATATATTTTCAGAGACATAATGAATAAACAAGCTGTGGTCTCCCTGTCTACAAAGCCTGATGCAGTACACAACTGTTTGCTTTAAAAACCATTGAAATGTAGGTCAGCATATGTCTCTTCAGTCACGAGATGAGCCATCGAACGTTGAGTGCCATATTTATTTTTATCGAGCCCATTTCAGCTGGAACCCATCTAATTCTGGCTGACAAGTGATGTAATGACTCAAGCAAGACTTCAGTTTCGAGAGTGGCCACAAGAGGGCGCTGCAGCCCTGACATTGGATCTGAGCACTTCACGCACTGCATCCGTGGTTGGCTTGTTTTTAATCTGATGCAATTCAGAAACATATTTGAAAGGTTTTTTTTCTGTTAATGAAACAAACAGAAATGTCTTTAAACTGAACAGGCATTTATATAGTGAGATTTTAGAGAATTTCCCAGCTTTAGTTACTATCTGTAAATGTCAACAGATAACAACATTATAATTGTTACTAAAATTAAATAAATTGTCATAGAATTATTGTAGAGTAGAAAATTCATTTAGAGTGTGAGACTGCCAGCTCTTGGTTTTTTAGATGATGATGATGTTCAAATTATGAAAAAAACGATAAATTATACCAGCCAGATTCTGAGGGAACAGAGTGATAGCAGTGAGAGAGTTAGAAATTGGCCCTGAAAATGTAAAGTGAAAGGAATTCATATTAAATATTTTCTATTTTTTGTTCTGTACCAAGGAAAATAAAGATACAGTCAGTCATAGAAGAAAAGTAAAACATATTGATGATTTTACTTGACATTTCACACCATAAACCTTCACATCTAATGCTGAGTTACAGTTTTCTACATTTTGAGTTTGATAAAATTACAAAACATTCAGAGGGAGATGAATAAAACTTTTGGTTCTCCAGCAGCCTGCTAGAAGATAATATGTGGGGGAAAAAAGCTCCTGAAGCAGCTGACCTTGACAGAAGAGAAAGATAAAGTCACTGTCTGCCAGTCAGAGGCACTGTTGCCATGCGGAAATGGAATTTCCGGCAATTATCTGATGGAATTTATAATTATGGTCTCTGCAGTTCAAACAAAATCAATGTAATGATTGGACTGACTGCATAAACTTGAAAAGTTATAGATGCTTTGGTCCAGGTTATCCAGTGGAAGGATTGTCTTTCTGCTGCTTGACCTTGCTGTCACCCTTTTGACACTTTAATCACCAACACAAAACAACAATTTAACAGCTCCGCTGGATGGATCCTCTATCATTGGGAAGCCTTGAGAGACGATATGAAAGCTTAAAATTAAATGGTAGGAAAACACATCTGAAAACATCCAATAAATGCTTTTAAATATGTAAAATCAAGATGTCTAACATATTAAGCCACTGAGGGTCATTCACTACTAAAAGCTAAAGGAAGAAATACGACACAAGTTTAGGAATATTCTTTTTTTCCCCTCAACATTAATTTCAACAAAGAAGTCTTTCTTACCATTAACTTTGTTTAAATTTTTGGCATGGCCTTTATTTTTGATTTGTAGATATATGGTTGTTGATGTTTAATAATTGCACTCTTTTGAATTTCCCCTTAGAATAAAGTTCTATCTTATGGTGTTTTATCTTTTTTGTGTAAGTCTTGAACCATACAGGTAAAGCATAAAGTGCTTACCTTCAGTAAACCTGGTTGTACTTAAAAATCTTTAGATTCAGTTTACATAAAACAGAGACTCTGGTATGAAAAAGTCAAGTGATAAATCAACTAATTGTTTCAGCTTTAACGAACACAACTTGATTGATCAATGAATTAGCTGGACTAAAACATCTTGAGAAGTTTAGGGAAGATGTTCTGGGTGTATTATGTTGACTGGTTGATCATATAGAAGCACACAATGAAAGCAAGGTAGTGACGGCATCATCAGAGACTAAATATAGATAAGTCACTTAGTAAACAAACATTGATTCCACAAAGAAATTGAAAATTGTCTAATTGTTGCACCTCATTATCTATTATTATTTTCTTGAGTGATTGATTTTCAAGTTTCATCTTTAAAATGTCAAAAAATAATGAAAACATTCTGCTCACAATTCCCTAAAGCCCAAGATGATGTCTTAAGATATTCAGTTTACTGTGATGGAAGGTGAAGAAAACCACCTTTAAGAGTAACACACATTTTTGTTTAAAATATTATATGCATTAATAAATACACTGGCATTTCATATTAATAGTGACATAACTTTATTTCTATATCATGTAGACACAGTTTTAAAAAAAAACAACAACTTTTGAATCATTAATATTACAATGGCACACAAAAACCTTCCCTGAGTGGGGATAAAATCACTTTATATGTAAATAGACTGTATTATAGTGACATTTCTTAGATTTTTCTGCTGTTATAATATATTTTTAAAAAGGTGCTAAACAAGTAGTTCAGTGAGTATATCAAAATAGATAATTTCCTGTTGATCAACTAATCTATTAAGAGACTAATTATTTCAGCTTTAGTTTCTGTTGTTATAACATTATGAGTTGTTCTAAACCAAACCCATAGATATTTAAAAAATAGCATTTTAATGTGTGTGAATGTACCATCAGCCACTGGCTCCAGAAATTGTTCATGCTCTAATCTGTGCTGCATGCAGAGCAGAGAGCTGAGGGATGTGCTGGTCAGAGGCCAGGGGAGGTTCGAGAGATAAGGACAGGGATTCTGTTGCCAGCTGTCTCTCCAATCTCCCAGAGGAGACCAGATTACATAAAAAGCTTTAATCCGGGTTTAAGACCCAAGCCAGCGGTGCAGGTCTTCTCCAGGGGAGGGGAGGGGGGCAGAGAAAAAAACCCCTCCAAGATTGATGACGGGATTCAAGCTAACATTGATGATAGATGGCTCAGTGTTGCCCTTTCAAGATGAGGTTTTGGGCAAAGAAGTGCTTTAAGAAGAGAGTGGGCTGCAAAACAGACTTTCACTCCGCTTTCTTTGAAAGTTGACTCAGTAACATAATTTCTCAGTTATACTTTGTTGTCTCCACTCTTGCACAATAATGAACAGCCTCCTTCCCTGTGATTAAGACAGAGACTGGAGACTCCACTATGTTATTAGGTAAAAAAAAACGAGATGATGGATGAACGAGGTCAGTGTTAAGAGCTGCGTTGAATAGTTGTCCTCCTAGACTGTATTTTGCTCATATCTCCTGTAGCATAATAGAATTAGGTCAAGGCCCGTGAATCATTTGCCCCAATGGGCCAAAAACCTTCCAGCAAATAGCATTTTTTTTATTTTAAGGTCTGAATTTAACATCCACCTGAAAGCTCATCATACAATTCATGATTTAAATCCCTGCTCTGTGGCTACTTCGACTGATCATGTCATATTGTACATGCATTGATTTAGTAATTTTCCTCCCCTGTCTCTTTGTTAATCAGGCAGGAAGTTGGAGGGGGGAGAAACACAGAGAGGGATGGCAGGGAATATTTCATGACATCTGATGGGGAAAGTGGGTCATGCTCGGTGTTGCAGTGCTGCTAGCCTCCTCCTCTATGGCGGCTATTGAATTAATCACGCTTTACGCTCTACTGGACAACGCAGTGCACAAAATGGCTCCCCCCCTCCCCTCACCACCCATCTCTCCGTGCGTCTGCTCAGCGCTCGCCACAGAAAAGACTTGTGCATTGCTCTTGGAGAACTTGAATCTAAGAGTCTCTTCTTTTTATATCTCTTTATGTTCTTCAAACAATGAGGGGATGCTGCTCTTATGCAGAACCACTCGGGTGTAAATGATGCAAA